TTCTATGTAGAAAGATTTTTGAGAATCTCGAAAGTACAGTTGAAAGAAATCAGTCCAGGGAATGAGTGGTTTGATTGAGTTGATTCCAGTGATCCCATGCCTTGTTCAGTTATTTCTGTGTTTCCATCTTTGTGCACTGCTGTTGATCCATGCCTGTACCAAACACTTTCATCAAGGTCATTGTTAGTGGAATCTTTAAAAAAGAACTGATTCACTTCAGTGAGCGAACAGTTCCGATTTTGATCCCTTGAAGCAGTGGTCTTGTACTATCCTATCACAGTGCTGTCCACAAGATTGCTGTCTACAGACTGTGCCACAAGATTGCTTCCTGTCCCAGATGCTCTACAGTTGGAACCTTCGTCTGCCTTATGATCTCTTATTTAGTCATCCTGAATGTGCCACCATTGCCTAAGGAGTACATTCAAGATCTCCAGGCATGGTTTGAAGTAATAAACAGTTTTGCATGAGAGTGAGTCAGTTTGACAACGGAGAGGATGAAGCCCCAATATAACACAAGAGCTATAGGACATCGATTAAACGAAGGTGACAAGGTGTGGTTATGGAATCCGATTCAATGGAAAATGTTTTCTCATAAACTACATTCGCTGTTGGACAATCATACTCAGACCTAAATAGGCTGAACTGTGTCATAGTTCGGATCCATAAGTAATCAAATTCTAAGCCTAAAAGTGTTCATTATGACAGGCTTGGCCCTTACTATGGCCATAGTGTATAGTCCCCCATAGTGTATATAATGTACATAGTATACAAAGAACCATTGTCCTATTAGTATATAAATCTGTACATTTATTGATTTAGTGTTTGATTTGTTGTATGATATTTATTGAAATTGTTTTAGTATTGCATTGATTTGGCTTAGTTGTAAGTATGGCTTTCAGCCCAAGGATTTTACATCGTGGGGATATAGTTTTGTGGAAGGGGGCAATGTTATGAATTTTATATGTATGTAAATAATTTGACTGAAATTGTATTATCCATCATGTAATGTAATAGGAAATGCTTGAAGAGACAAAGTTGTACTGGAAAAATAAGATTACAGGCACCAGTCTATTCAACATTAAGGTACTGTCCCTTTTGCAAAATTGGTGACTTTGGGCAACTTATGTTTATCGCTAAATTGGTGACCATTTGGCAACATTTTTGCCGGGCCCTGTATAACTGTAATGGGAGGTGCTGGAAATTTCTCAGCGGCCAAGGTAAAAAACTGTATAAGGCCAGAGAAAGCATCAGCTCTCAGTTGTTCAGAGATCACTTCGGAGTATTGAGATATCTGTGAGAGTTTCAACTTTTTGTTGCACTCTGCATGCATTGTGTTTAAAAGTTCTTAGTCTGAAATGGAACTACTGATTGTGCTTTGTGATATTGAGGAGAACTGTACACCTGTGTATGTGCAAAGTTCTAGAATTGTTAATTGCTTTTGGGAAATAAATTTTATCAAGCTATCATCAGTTCTGTGTGCATTCAATCAATTATGAACCTATACTTGTGCAGGACATTTGGTTTTTTTCCAGGGTGAGATTTTAAGTTTTTTTCTAGTGATGATATTGGTTTAAGCTTGTGACCTAATTTAACTTTTGTTGGCTTTTGAAATGAATCCTGTTTTTAAAAAATCTCTAACTGAACTAAAATTTCCAACATTAGTAAATTCTCTGAACGCTGGTAGTTCTGTCTGAGGTTCGAATCTCACAAACGGGCTGGCTACAAGGTCATTTTCATGGTTTTCTGCATGGGTAACTTGTATACGAACCAGTTTCCTTTAGAAAGTCCTCCATGAATCATCCCTTCCCTTAGACAGATATCCCTCGAGGTTTTGTGATAATCACATAACTCTAATCAAACCAAAAAACCTGAAATATATATACAGTCAAAAGTCGTTAATTCGGACACCCATAATCCGGAATGATCTATAATCCGGACCTTGAAGCTAAAAACTTTCTGCGCATGCGCCGCGTTGGCACAGGCATTTTACGCATGCGCGTAAGACCTTGACTACTGCGCATATGCGTGTGTGCAAGTGCAGAATACGTTTTCGCCTGCGCGTTTAATGTATAACGGAAGGTGTAAGGTAAAATTATCTAATTATCTATTTCAGTTAATGTTAATGATTGCGTTGTTCCTTAATCTTCGAATTGGATCCCGCGGTAAAATCCTAGTATACGGTGCAGCCTTGGCGCAATTTTGAAAATTATCGCCAACACCAAAAATTACCAAAAGAACATCTATGTATATATATAGTGATAGTATACTATCACTACACATACTATACACTATAGTGATAGTATACTATATACATAGTATATACTATGTTTAACTAGTATATATTACTTCTATGAATTCTTTGACCTGTTTACTACTCATCGTATATGTCCCGTTTTTACTGCTCATCATAAAAGTTGCCAAAAGTAGCAAAATCCCGTGTGCACCGGATACTAGGATTAAACCGAGACTGTAAGAGCAATTTTATAAAAGTAAACTTGAACTTTCGATTATGTCAAATAGAATATCCGATGCTGGAACTTCTACAAAACGAAAGTATGTTTCGATGTCCAACAAACAAAAAGTGGAATTGCTGCAAAAAATGGATGAAGACATGAAGAATGTGACAGAGAGGTTAGTGAAAACGAAAAAATTTCGATTGACAAGTTAGTCGGTATTCTCAGCACAGCAATTAACGGGACTTGAACAGCGGAACTTTGTAACTGAACAAGAAATTATGTCTTTTTATAGAATTAAAGAGAAAGTATTGTCACATAAAATGAAGCAACTTAAACAACTTACATTGAGAGAAATGTTTAATAAAGTAAACAAATAAATATTAAGTCTTTTTTTTTTTTTTTTGTAAATTTTGATCATAACCGTTCTTTATTTCATAAATTGCGGTTTCATATTTTTAATTTTATAATTTCTGCATGCCATCTTACGAGATTTAAACTGATGATCTATAATCCGGAAAAATCGATAATCCGGAATCGCCGAAGTCTCGACGAGTCCGGATTAACAACTTTTGACTGTATATCTTTTTGTATTTTCCTGTGGCTTTACTTTCTCTGAATTGGTTATGAATTTCTTAAGAACTTACTAAACGTGTAGTTCGCATACATAACTCCTGATATTCGTATTCATCATGCTGTTGGGTAGGAAAAAGAACATTGGGGGGGGGGAAGCATATAAAACTTATCAGAGGAAGAATGCAAAAAAGTGTCAGTTGGGAAGAATGAGTTAGAGTGCACTTTGGTTTTGGCCAAATTTTCTTCCCTTTTAATTCTTTTGAGAATTAAGTATACTACATCATTTTATTTCTCAAAATGATCAAAGGAGAAAAGGATTTCATAAAGCAATTCTGTTTAGATAAGCTTACTTGAATTTTCCTGTTGCCATACAGGACTTCTTTTTAAGGATTTAAAAAATAAAGCAAGAAAGTTGCATCTAAACTGAAATAAAAAATTTGCATACACATTAACATGATCTCAAATTACAAAAGTGATTACAGCTTTGTATAGACAGTGTGGGGCCCCAGACACAGCATTTTTTAGTGATGTCTAATGTCCACTTTCTTGTTTTTATGATTGCAGACCTAAAATATCTCAGATTTGGAATGGTTTGTGGTACTTGAAATCTGAGACCCTGGATCAGAACCTTTTAGATATAGGTGATTGGAAAGCAGTAATTTAACCTTTAACTGCTGTGAATGGTTCAAGAGACCAGAGGAATTTCTAACCCCCATTTCCACCCCTAAAAACGGAGAATGGTCCCTGTCCTGTCTTACCTCTTCTATAACTGAATGAGTAATATTTGTAATATGGATCTTAATGGGTTAATCCATATTAATTGGCAATAATATCTAATTCGTTTAGTGTACTGAATTTCTGAAGAAAAAGTAAACTTATTTTTATAGAAGTTGCATGGTTTAAGAATCCTCCCCCCCCCCAAAAAAAAGGAAATGATTGATTTTTTAAAGATAAAATTGAAATTGCTATCTGAATGTGGATAAAAAAATATTCTTTCTCCTCCCAGGAGGAAAGAATTTCACTCTTACTGGCTTATCTTAAGCTTATTTACTAATTCATGTAATTTAAGAGCTTTTTCCTTTGTAGGAGACTGTATATGCAGCATTTTAATAATTTTTCAATGACTATTCCTTTAACATTCCATTTAATTCTGAAATATCTAGTTGCTATTATATCTTTGCAGAGAATTGTTAAGATTCATGTATAAAAGTCGTTGAATGGCAATTTTACAGTGTCGAACACTGGCCATAATTGTATGTTGTTCTGCATTACATGTTATGAATATTTTGTAAAAATATTTGTTGATAGTACCTATGTGGTGATAGTACCTTCTTTCCTTTCATTGTTATTGCTTGAGCTCAGGCATACTAATTCATCATTTGTACTCCTGCAACTGAAGAAAAGGGTTCTATATTTATATCTCTGAATATAGTCCTGCAAAATTATATGAATATTTTTCTGATTCTTGTTGCCTTATCACCTCCAATAAATTAGTGAGCTCTTGAAATCAATTTTAAATATGAAGCTATTTAATATTACAGAGGGCATTTTCAATATTATAATTCAAAAGAGGCCCACCAGCAGCCAAGCGGTAAAGTCGCTGGGCACTGGTAGTCTAGTCCAAAGTTCGAATCCTGTGAACAGACTGACTGCATCGGCATTTTTTGGGTTTTCCCCATGTGTAAAGTGTATATGAGAAGTTTCTCTCGGAAAGTCCTCCACGAAGTCATCCCTTCCCTTAGGCAGATAGCCCTCCAGTTCTTTGCTGTAAACAAATAAACCAAATTATTATGTGAAAGATTCCAGAAAATGATTACTTTTGACAGAGCTTTCTAATTTTTCTGGTTTACCTCCTCAGTTTGGGGTCTTTAAAATTAACTAACCCAGTTATTTATATTTTCAGTTTTCTAACTATGTAATTTTTACTTATGGGGAAATCTGATTAACAAAAAAAGTATTTTTTTTTTCCAGGCTTGTTACTCGTTATCAGAAATTGGAGCTCAGCAGTATGACCAGTATGGGAAAATTTTTACTGTTAAATTACAGTATAAATTTTACAGGGAAAGAGTCGGTGTTCGACCTGGTCAAATATCAAAGGTTGCTCAGGGTCAAGTGACATCCATGGGAGATGTGGCAAAACTAGGTTTACCTCTACAGCATTCACCTCAAACATCTCAACTTTTAAAACTTGGGTCTCAGTCATATTCTGACATGAAATTTTTTATTCAGGTACTGAATTTTTAATAAAACACATTAAATGTAAATTTCTGTTATCTGTTTTCCAAATTAGTTATATAACTTCTCATTATAGGAAGTTGAAGATGCACTATTCCGTATGGTTGTCCATAGAGATCGTGTACTAACATATAAAACTGAAGAAGTTCAAGTCATTGCACAAGATGAATTCTATGTAGAGCAGAGTAAAACTGGTCATATAGATAAACAACTCGCCCGTGTCCGTATTTTCTTTCTGGCATTTATAACAGGTAATTTGCTTTGCTTACATTTATAGTTTTTATCAAATATTCTTATCATGCTAGTTTTATTTAATGTAAAATTTTATACTAATAAATAAAATGCAATAATACTTGCTTATAAGCATAACCATCTTGGCACAATTCAGTGATATTTTGCAGAAGAATGACAACTTCTAATTGCAAAGAATTATTTATTAGCATCAATATTATTGCATACAAATGTTATAATTAGATTATCTCCAAAATCAATCAGTAAACTTAATCACTAGGTTTTCTGTTTGCTGTGTGTTTTGGTTAAAATTTTGTGACAGTCTTTTCAGAATAAATTCAAAACAATTGTTCCCTTTAGAGATTTTTCAGGAACTGTAGTTCCTACTGAAATTTCATGGCAGTTTTTTTCTGCTACAGGCCATTCATTCCCACAAGTGTGTTTTAAAACCATATTTAAGCTAAAATATCCCATTTTTTCTGTAAAAATCATTGAAACAACAGACTACTAACCCTGGAGGAATGGAACCATGTGAGCTCCTTCCTAGCTGTGTGTATGTTTTTGGAAAAACTGTAGTGAATAAAACTGCAATTACTTGAATAAAAAGCAAATATCAATATTCAGCTCTGTTTTCCCATTTGTGGAGTACATTTCAGAGTATACATTTACTGTACATTTCAGAGTATTAGAAAGCAACTGCAACTTTTCAGATAGCACCAGTAAATGTGAATTTACATTTTATGCTACACTGTATTTTCATATGTAAAATAATAAATTCTTCTCAGTCGGAGATTTCTCTCCCCTCCCCCCCAGCTCAAAAAATGAATATTTGAGTCTGTGCCTTATTATTTCTAATGTAATTTAGCAGAATAAAATTATTTTAAAACAGTTGTGATAATCTTATAATAATTTATACATTCACAGTATAGGAAAAGTAAGTTTTTAAATAGCACTAGTAAATGTAGATTTGGCATTTTATGCCACACTGTATTTTGATATATAAAATATTGAATTCTCCCTATTAGATTCCCCTCCCCCCAGTTCAAAAGATGAATATTTAAATCTGTATGCCTTTTTCAAATGTAATTCTGCATAATAAAATTATGTTAAAGCAGTTGCTAATCTTTATTTACATAATCTTCAGATGTTGTTATTTTTGGAACTACTGTACCTAAAATGTAGATGTTTTATGCATATTACAACAGATTAATAAGTACTTTTAAAAATTAAATTTAGTGAATCTTTTTAGACAGCAGAAAAGTGGTCAGTTTTGCAAAATGTGATGGGATGTAAATGAATATATTATCTCATCAACCATGAAAATGTTGCCAAGCAGTGTGATTTTATACCAGTTATGGCTAAGCTGGATGTCACAACATGTAACGTCTGTACTCTCATTTGTTGTAACACAGAGTGATTCTCAATAAGCACATTTTATTTGTATGGACAAGGATATAATTGATTAATTGCTATGTTTTTTCTTACGTTAAACAAAAAAAAAGTCAAAGCTGTAGAATCATATTTTTGACTGTTGTCCTATTCATTTACAGCTGAACAAGCAAATTAACATCTGTTGAAATAAGAAAAGGACAACTCAATGTGGTAGACAAAACAGTAGTAGATCACAGCACTCACCTGTAGAAAGTTTGATGTTCTACTAAGAGCTTTCGGTAAAATTGGAAAACTTAATGAAATATTAGAAATCAACAAAAGCCTTTTTACCAAGAGCTAAAACAAAGGTGCTTGAATACTTCAACAGCAATACCTGTTTAATAGATAGTGCAGAAAGATTGATGAATGTTTTATCCTAAGACTTGCATATACAAATGCAGCATCCACAGGAATGATTAGTGCTACTTTGGAAGAAATTTTACCAACTTTTCACGGTCAGTTGGATATTACATAAGTACTTATTAGCTATTTAAAAAGTGCACAGGAAAAAGATAAATCATTCATTTATCAATTCTGCTTTAGTGGGAGAATTTGTGTTCATGAAGAAGATATTTTTTATTTAAATTATGAACAATTAAATGAGATTTTAACTCAGCTCATTTTTGATTACCTTTACAGACACTGTTTTAAGAAAATTACTTTTTTGTAGTTGTTTTCTGCTTATGGTGTTCTTTTAATTGCGTGTATGTATCATAATCTATTGTTAACTTTACATCAGTTTCACATATTCACTTTCTTGTAATTGTATAAATAATGTTTCCCTGGTTTTACAGTTTCTGCCTATGATATTTAACTGTTAAATAATGGTAGTAGAACAGGTGTTACTGTATATCTACTACTGATCGTGGGTATTCTGAAAGAACATGACTAATTGGATACATTAGATATCCTATTTTGCACAATCTATCTTACCGAAATAATTTTGTTTCAGTTTTCTTCTATGTACTTGATAAATTTGTAATCATTGACCATATGGTGGTTTACAAGTATTATTAGTAGTACATCTTAACACTACATGTAGGTACAGTTGCCTTTTATTCTGTTAGGAATCTGTCAGTCATGTTATCCTTCTTTCTTTTTTTTCGGGGGGGGGGGGGCTACACGTGGCTGAATGGTTATTATAATTGAATCAAAGCATCTGGCAACTATCTTTTTGTTGAGGACTTTATAAGGGTAATTTTCTGATTTTAACATTTCACAGGGAAATAAAACCTGAAATGCACATGCAAACCTGTTTTGCTACTGGAAATCAAATCCAGTCCAGAACTATCAGTAGCTTGATTTTCTAAACTTAATTTTTAAATACTTCTGAGATTGTTATGGAAGAAAGAAATACTTTATAAAATTTCAGGACTTGTGTAACATTCCTGCTTTGTTTTATAAAGTTACAGCATGATGATAGTTTGGATTAGGTTCGTTTTCAGGGGAATACCCAGGCAGCACATTCATTTTTGTAGTTTTTCCCTTGTGTAACATGCATATGAGCCAGTTTTTCTAAGAAAATCCTCCATGAAGTTATACTTCCTCTTAAGCATATGGCCCTCGTGAGCTTTGCCATAGTCAAATAAACCAAACCTAATTTGCTTGAAAATGGGTGTTCATTCAGCTTTGTTTTCATATTCAATTAAAAATCAAATCCCTTTCCACTAAATGTGCACAGTCTATTTTGTATGTGATGTTACATTTGTGAACGAGCTTACCAGTAGCTTGGTGGCTAAGAATTTTTGACACTGGTACTTCAACTTAAGTTAAAATCCTGGTTGAATGGGCTGGTTGCATGAGATTTTTCATAGTTTTCATATGTGTATTGTGACTGTCAGGCCACTTTCCCTTAAGAAATCTTTCACGAAGGTATATCTTTCCTTAGGAAGATAGCCCTTGTGTATTTTATTGTAATTAATTTAACTCATTTGTACTTAAAAAGTAAGTAGTTCTGTCTTAAATTCATTCCCGTCATTGATTGATCTTTTTTCTTAGTACTATTGCTGTCCAGTTTAAAAAATGAAAGAATGTTTTGCTTTCCAAACTAGAGCTACTATAATTTCATACTTCGGATATTAATTAGAACATTAACAATCAAAACAGCAAGAAATGGAACAACATTCTGGATGATTAACACTAAAGAAGTTCAAGAAATAGGTAATATAGTATCACATTTAAATATAATTAGGAACTGATTAGTCCCAAAACAGGAGGTTTCACAATATTTTGGGACAAGCCTTCAGCTGCTGCAAAATGCTCTGCAGGACATGCATCTCATTTGTTTAGTCAAAAGTAAAGTATAATATTGCAGATAATAGTTGATACAAAAATCTTACTTACTTCATTATAAATTCTTTCATGAGATGACTTAAATAATCTTTCTTTTTTTATATAAATGAAGATAGGATTTACCTTTAGTCTCTTGGCTCCTAGCATATTGTATATAATATATTTCTGTTTCCCTCCATGGGCCCACCATATCAAATAATGCAGGAGCACCCACCATATCATATATGATATGCTGAAATAGAGCATTTCATTTGACATTGTAAATGCACTTAAATTATGTCAGAATGCTGTGAAATCTTATTAAATGGAATCTCTTGAGTGTCAGCCTTGTTATTATGAATATTATTTATTATTTTCTCTATGAATATAAAACATGCATTGCTTACAATGTACATTCAGAATTTTCATACCGTGCAGGCACCTGAAACAAGCTCATTTGGTAATAGGCCATAATAGACAGATATTTAAATTCTAAAATGTTTTACTTCATTATTGTAATGGGAAAATTATTTAAATATTAAAATTATTATTACTACACATAATTACTAATATTGCACATTAGCTTATTTAAAATTTTTATTTTAATTTGTAAGTATTAGGATTTTCTGTTTGTATTATCAGAAATAATATTAAAATGACATATGCAAGAATCCAAATATTTTGATAAAAAAACAGCTTTTATAGGAAATATTTTTTTATGTTAGACTTAACTGCAAAATACACTGACAGGCAGCAATCTTCAGCATTCCAAGGTCGTGGGGGGGGGAATTGTTTTGCAACTCTTTTTTTTTTTATGTCACACTTTTTAATGCATGCTTCTTAAGGGCTGGTTAGATCATATGTGGACAGGAGAAGGTATTTCAGATTATAGCATCATCTAATATTTAAGTACAACTTGTGGAAAATGTAAGTTTTGAAAGATTAAAATATGTTTCGCCAAAAAAATAAATAAATAAAATAAGAGGGGGGAAAGTGCAAGCTCAAAGTTCCATGATAACTAGATTTTTTTTCCTTCTTTCCTGGAGATTGGGGAAATGCAGGAAGTTGTGTAAATAAACAAAATGAGATATTCTAGAAATTGAAAAAGTGATACATTATCCCTTTGCTGGTCAAAGGAGGTTTGTCTGTAAGACAGTCCTAACTTTTCATGAGCGTGCATTTCCTTTTTTTCTCTGAGTACATCTTAAGCTACCATTATGCTAATAAATAAAAAGTAATAATAAAATGGACGGATAGTTTCCAGTTCATTCAAAAGTAGACCATAAAATGGCCAGTAACTTGCAGTTAGGTGGTTGTCTTTGTCTTGGCATACATTGCCTTCCATAGTCTCATTCCATAATTAATCCTTTGCCATAATCAATTATTCATTTACTAAATATTTATTAAATACTATTTGCAGCAGTATTTACAGTATCATTTTTCTTCAGGTATGCCATCAGTTGAAGTTGGCTTAAACGATATTAACAGACAAGGTAAAGAAGTTGTGGGACGTTATGATATCATACCTGTTGTTACAGAAGAATGGATACGTTTAGAGGACTGTGAATTTCATTCTTGTGTTATTCAAGATGAATTTCACAAAAATCGTGTGATTAAGTAATGTATTCTTCTTTATTTCATTAATTATTGTTTACTTAACAATTTTTAAATACACTGGTGATAAAATTGAAAGGAACAAGTATAGAAACTCACGTAACTTGAATGATTTTGCAGCTAAAATATGGAATTGTGTAAAATCTTTATTATCTCATGCTTGGCATGTTTTTAGAATGCAGAATTACCTATTTTTGCAAAAAAGTTAATGTAGATATGAGCACAGAAACTGTGATACAATGTGGGATACAGAAAGGTTTGTTACAACTTTTTAGAAATACATAGAAAAAATTAATAAGATGTGCAATTACTCCTGATTGAAATGCAAGTCTAACAGTAATTTCCATGCGATGTATAAGCTTGCTCAGGAATTCCTGTGGGAACAAGGTGTATTTAAGAAGTTTAAAGTCTTGAAGCTTCCAGAGTATGCTAGGTGCTCAGTGATGCTGCTAGTCAGCATTTTAGTTATCTTGCATTAGTTATGTTCTATAGAATTTTAATCCAGAGAATATGTGGGCTACTCCATCCACTAGATTCCTTTGCCCTCAAGATTGTTAATAATAAAGCACCATGCTGGAGATGACCATGCTATAAAGTTATTATCTATTGCATCCCAAAATACCTAATGTAGGGATCAAGACCTCATCTCTATATATCAGTATTCATAAAAAGTATTCAATCCGTATTCAGTCGACACTCTTAAAAATGCATAGGGCATTTGAAATAATGCTTGTACATATCGTAATTTTATCAAGTGTGTATACTGATGCTGTTGACAGATGTTTCCAGTTTTATTGCATGTTATTTACTCCCTTGAGGTTGTAATATGTCTGAAATCACTCTCTCAATTCAAACAAAACTCACCAGCAAAGAGAATTCAACTTCATTCTGTAGTCCTCTAATCATGATGGTTTTTGCACCGCTGCAGCTGCGCACATTTTGCAGCCTGAGTTAGTGGGACACAAATGGGTTCTCTTGCATGCAGCCTGCTTTTATGAAATGTGTCACTCATGGCACATCAGGATAATTGAGTTCCTGTAGCTGCAGTGAACTCCTTTGCAATATAGGCTAATGTCAGATGTGTATTACTTTTAGCATCTGTTGTGGCACATTTTTACCTTGACCTGCTTGTCTGAAAATGTGACCAGTGTTTTTTAAATTGTATCCAGATTCTTGACATGATACTTTTGGCTAAGTCTTTAGAGACCTCTATTGGTGTCTGTCCTGCTTCCATTCTGTTAATCACATGCCATTTGTCACAATCTATCGAGTGCTTTCTGTGTGGCGTGTTCTACCTTTCACATAGCAAAACTTTATCCATCTAGTCCTAGAAATTTTGCTCCATGGCTTTTCTGAACTTCAGGTTTTTATGTAGCGAATGAGAATTGCATTGGATCATGTGAATGTTGACCTGAAGCTACAAACCACTTTTCATTGGACTTTGCAGAGTAGAATTTGCCTGAAGCACCTTTTTATTCTTCCTTTAATTTTTCATGCCAGTGTAATTGTTATTCATTTGCTTTAAATGTACAGAACATCAAGTATTTAAAAAATTTGAATCTGTGTCTTATTAGAATACTTAAGTATTTTAAAACTGGCTTATGATACTATGATGAAATAAATAAAATTTCAGTCTTAAATTATCCCTTTTAATTGAATGAGATTCTGTTTTTAACATATACTGGAATACAAGTATGCTTTGGTGGGCAAATCATTTGAACACATTTGGCAAAATAAAATAAAAATTACAGTCAAAAGTCTTTAATCTGGACGTCCATAATCCGGAATGATCTATAATTCGAACCTCAAAGCTACAAACTTTCTGGGCATGCGTAAACGCATAATGCGTTTACACATTGGCGTGATACCTTTGTGCGTGCGCATAATATGTTTACGCATACATGTTTAGTGTATAACGGTCGGTATAAGCTAAGCTAAAATATCTATTTCAGTTAATGTTGCAGATTGCGTCTGTTCCTTAATCTTCTAATTGGATCGGCTTATTATTTTTTTTGCAGACTGTTATTATTACGAGCAATTTTATAAAAACTAAGCTTGAACTTTCGATTATGTCAAAAAGAGTTTGCCAATTCTGGAGCTGCCAAAGGATCAACAAAGCAAAGCACCATGTTTCGATGTCCATTAAACAAAAAAGTGGAATTGCTGCAAAAAATGGATAAAGGCATATCCTTTGTTTCTCTAAACCATTCCAGAATCTGTTTATCAATTTCACGCTGCTCTGCGGGGAAGGGGGACGTTGTGGCGCGCAATGAACTGGAAGTTGATCTGTCAGCACTATCCTTTTCTTCAGAGCAGATGTTTTTATTTTATTCAGCTTATAATTCCTTACTAAATGCACTATTTCATATCGATGTACTCCATCTTTGATATGATTTAAATCAAATTCCTCGTCATTATAAATATCATGAATACACATCAAATAGTTTTCTGGTTGCAATTTTCTAATTTCGACTATGCGTAATGTATGCTTTACGCATGCGCACACGTTGAAAGAAATGTTTAATAAAATAAACAAATAAATATTAAGCTTTTTTATACATTTTGATACCCTTTAGATCATAATTACTCTTTATTTCATAAATTAAGGTTTCATATTTTTAATTTTAAAATTTCTGCATGCCATCTTACCAGATTTAAACCGATGATCTATAATCCGGAAAAACCGATAATCCGGAATCGCCGAAGTCCCGACGAGTCCGGATTAAAGACTTTTGACTGTATTTACCTGTTCAGCCGATTTGCATAAGCAAAGTTCAGATAATCTGAATGAAAGTGTGTTTCCCAAGGTGAATAAATTATACACTGGCACAACAGACTCACAAGAGCTAATTGAGTAAGTAATAGCATTTGATGTCTTCACTAACGCTTTATAAAAATTAAAATTTATTCCTTGTAATTATGTATGAAAAATATTCATTGTAGTGCAAATTCTTTTCTTAGGCATAAAAGTTTAATTGGATCGCAATCTTTTATGGCAACCACTTCTTTGCTGTTTCTAAATATATAAAGATAATTTATCACTTCATATCTGAAGTCATTCTCTGTCAGTTCTTATTTTGAATAGAAAGAATGGTCTTATGTTCATTTAAAACTAGATATGCAGATCATGTGTGTTAACTTTTAATTACTTATTAATTCCATTTTCATCACAGTTTAGACTTTTGCCAAACTCATTCTTCTTATCTGTGGTATTCATTATCATATATGTATCATCTAAACTTATTTTCTGCATGCATTTCTTGATAGAGAATTTTTGTTTTAGATTTCATCCTCCTGATGCATGTTTATTTGAATTGTTGCGATTCCGTATTCGCCCACCAAAGAATCGAGAGCTTCCTTTGCAGGTGACTATTTTGCATTTTGTGTCTTTGTAAAATTTTTTAAGCTTTTTTTTTTTTTTTTTTTTTTTTTTCAACTTTAATATTGCATTAATTATAAAGTTATTATGTTTCTGGCATGAAAGTTTTTAGCAAAAATTTAATATCTGTGATTCTTGATATAATTTTGATACACACATATGCATAGATCAGCTATCAGTCTCAAGGTATATACAGGGTGATTAAAAAATATCTGACAAAAATGCAAAAGCAGGTACGTAGAGTGGACCACAATAAGCAAATTTTTTATGGAAGGTATGTTCCAGAATGGCACATGAAAGTTACACAGGGTACAGTTGAGCAGTGGGTGAGAGCGTTCTATTTGGGAAAATTATGATTCCCCGTGTGAATTTTCAGCTGTATGCATCACTATATGTGTGCAGAGCTCATCACCATGCCTTTTATTTTGGGTGTTGCGGAGTGAAATCGAGCAGCTTAAAGGAAATACTCACAGTCTTTGTGCCTAATTTGATTAACTGCTCCATTTTATCTGCAACCTCATAGATGAAATTCATATCACTGAGTTCCACATTTATTTAGTGGTGCATACCATTTGAAATTCACTTGGAAAATGGCAATTTGCACCAGCAGAATGCTTTTAGCTCTGCCCAAGAGTGTAGTATTGCGGAACTCACATTCTTTTACAAAATCAAGTATTTCAGTACACTCTACCTGACTTTACATTTCTATCTAATACAGGGTGTCTCAAAATGTTGTTGCCAAACTTAACATACTAGTCTGTCATTCCATGACAAGCAAGATTTACATAGGAACTTGTGTCCAAAAATGCAAATGGTAACAGCTAGAGGGCAAATGTTTGCAGGCTTAGAGTGGGAAGTCGGATTATTTCAGACAAGGACATTGCAGGAGTACGATGAAAAACGGTTTACTAACTCAGAACTGGCCGATATGCATTACCCCAAGTAGCAGTACTTGTTGCGGATGTCGTTGCAAAAACGTTGCAATGTGTCTTCTTTAAGACGCTCAGATGTCCGTGAACACCCACTGTTTTGCAACTGTTGCAAAGACGTCTTTATTATGTCATTGCAGATGAGGTTTTTGTCACATATACGCCGTTATTGCATCTTTCGCAGGTGATATTTTGGTTGCGAAAGCATTGTATCACGACATCTTAAAGACACCTAAATGTTCGCCAAATTCCACCTTTTTGCAACAGTTGTGAAAATGTGGTTATTATGTCTCTGTTACATATTGATGTATGCAAAAAATTAACTTAATAATTAATATATTTTTCTTCTTTTTTGAAATTTTGTATTCCTTGTATTTATCTAAAGTTTTAAATACTTTTGCCATTTCCTGAAAACCAGAAGATAATACAACTTTTTCTCTTTAGAATAAATATGCATAATTAGTAATTAGCCTTAATTATTTTCAGTACTTTTAAACTATATTTTTTAAATAATTTAAATTCCAAGTCACGATTATTTAAGATTTCATCATTTTTTCCCCTTAATCCTTTAGTATGTAAGTGAGAATAATTATGAAAGTGGTTATTATAAATATATAACATGAATAGTAGTTTTTAAGTAAAAAAACTCAATCAGACATAAATAAAAGTAAAGATATATACGTGGGTATAAAAAAAAAATAGCGTTTCTGATTATAACAACATTATCACATTTATTTCTGTTAAATCTCAGAGACATTGAAAATTGCCCCCGTCATGATAAATTAGGAAGCAGTTCTTAAGGTAGCATAATCAGTATTTTACCTGAATTCAAGTATAAGTTTATTCGCATTTTATACTAAAAAATATAACCATTAACTTCTATATCTCCAAGATATCCAAATGAAACACTGTAAAAGTAGTTAATAAATGTGATCAAAAGTATTTCGTACAAAAATATATCTAAATCTATTAACCAAAGAAAAACTTCCCATATTCATAGCTAAAATGAAATAATAACCTAACAAACAACATACATGACAGCACTATTTAAGAAAAAAAAAATGAACTAGCAGTGTTTGAAAATATAAATAAGCAGAAGGAAAGTAACAGAACTAACATTTCCAATTAATAAAAAATTATTTTTGTTTTTTAAATAGTAAGCAATTAAAAGTGCAATAATTTTGCATTGCAGTACTTACTAATAATGTTCACGTTTTTAACACCATTTCTTTCGATCATATGTTAATGTATTTACTTACTTTTAGTTTCTACATTTTAGAATAGTGGTAGATTACAATGATTATTTCATACACTTTATATAATCAATAACTTTTCCTTTTGTTACTGTACAGAAATAATTTTAATAAATGTAGTGTACGATAGTAAGCTAAGTACGTTAAAAAAAGCTCTTCGTTAAATAGCACGCGATGAAACTTTTTGTTTCTATTTATTATGAATTTCTTTGTTATCGCAAGCACATAAAAGTAAGCAAATAAAATAGTATATACTTAAATTTAATAAAAAATAAAACCTAATTTCCAACATTTTCATTTATTGAGATAATCTAATATACGTACATAATGGCAATATTAAAAAAAACACGAATTACACAGTGTTTGGAAGAATAGATACCAAACGAAAAGTAATAAAAAACTGCAATTTGCAATGAATAAAAAAAGTATTTAGTGTTATTTTAATATTACACAATTAAATATCACATAATTATAAATTACAATATTTCATAGTAATGTTAATGTTTCCTTAACACTATTTTTTTCAATCATACATTTCATACACTTAAAATCATTAACCTTTTTCACATACTATGCAAAAGATAACATAATATAGAATGTGCATTGTTATTAATTTTAATGAATTCCTTGTATTTTTCTAATATGTTATTACATATATCTAATTCATCTTCAGCAGTCATATTAAGTACCAGTCCAATAATTTCTTTCTATTTTGAAACTCATGAACTCATGAATCTAACAACCAAAGAAAAAATTCCCATATTCATAGCTAAAATGAAATAATAACCTAACAAACAACATAACAGCTTAAATTGCTGTTGCTTCTGCATGGATTGCATCAGAAATGCCTTAACGTTGTATGTTGTTTTTGGTTTTATATGAATTTATTTTGAGCAACAACACAATAATCGATTAATTTGAATGATATACGATATACCACTTACGACGTTATATCCAAATCACTAATTCGTGTATCCAAAATATTGCACCGCTTGGGTCACTGAAGATTGGGAAAACCACCATATAATTTTAATCACTGGTAACACATAAGACACCAAAACAGAAAACTCTTTCACTCTATATGGACTTTAGCAAGCTGCATCCGATATTTTCTTTAAACGATGCATCCAAAATTCAAACTTTTGGTGTGGTCTTGTAAAGCAGATATTCACAAACAAAATAAGCAGAAATTCGGAGTTGCCACGAAGATTTCTCCTCAATTCAAAATAAACTGCCATCACTATATTCTTGTGCATCGCTTTCTTTCTGTATTGAAGCTCTCCAGTATTTAATTCCAACGGTGAATTGGTGAATTGCAAAACCCATGAATAAAACATTCCTGAAAATAAGATGGAGTCTGAAATTTATTACACAGTTAACTAACGTGTTCGAATTTGGCAGCTAGTCAAAGCACACAAGCCTCGAGCTCAGATGTACGTTTATATAATCACCTACTAAATTAAATGCATGGAATGTCAATCGGTCGAACAGTTGTCAATCAGTGTAACTTTTCAGTGAGTTATACGATTGCATAAACCTTTTGACAGTTCTGATAATTTAATGAATCTTTTTAAATGGCTTAGAAGAATTATTTCAACTGAATAGAATTACGAACAATGTTCACAAGGTTATATTTACAAAAAATATTTATCGGGCTCGCTAAAACATTTGTAATGTCAATATCGCCAAATCCCGAGTGTACCGTATACTAGGATTAAACCAAGCATTTTTAAATGCATGGAGATGGACAAAAACGTAACAAACAATTCATCAGAACTTTTATAGGTAATGAATTTCGTATTTTTGTTCACAGATTCTCTAAGTTTGATGTCAACATTTATTAGCAATTTATCAAAGTCATTAATTTTGTCGTTTTCCATTTAAAATGTTAATATTTCTTTCTCTTTTTCCATTAATTTTCCATCAGATATTTTGGACAGCCGTTAAATATCACATGGATATGCAACGTCTTTTAACATTGGGCGTTTTCTCGGAATTCTTAAAATCGCCCCATTTATAATCGTGAGTACATCTTCACGCACGAATCATATCTTTGCGAAAATTGTACTTTGTGCTCTGTATGCGGTAAAAATGTTTCATATTATGTCAGCATATTAATTCAAATAAATTCGTCTTGCTTCAAAAATAAAAAAATCATATTTCAGCTGTAAAATAATTGTTAACATGTGATTTGCATTGATTTCCAAAATATGTTTTTTTTTTAATATATAAAATGCAGAACTTAATAACTTACTTTATAGAGTTGTTTCATTTTTAAATATTTTGCTATAATATATATAAAAATACTTTAAGTATTAATTATTTTAATGATAATTAGCACGTATTTTTAGTACTAATTAAATCTAATAACTCAAGTATTATATTAAATTTATATTTCGTTAACTGAATCTACCTTAGATTAATATATTTAGACGAAATAAAGTAATGAAACATTGCAAAATAAATCTTATGCAGACTTCAGCTTCTTGAAAGGGCAGATTTAGTCTCTTTTCATTCTAAAAGTAACGCTGATGAACTATGAAAAAGATGCTAAAATGGCCACGTCTAAAAGCGGTCATATCATGATGTTTCAGCAATGTCGGCAAATTGCCAAGATGCAACGGCAAATATTTTGCGTCTTCGCAGCGTTGTAAAGCCTTCGTAAAAGTTGCCATGACCACTTTTCAACCTCTCAGACCAGTTTGCAATGTCGTTACAACGTTGCTGTGCTACTTGGGACTTGTATTGTGCCTTGGTCCAGTCACATGGGCACCGAAATTTCCCAACCTAACTTCCTTGGATACCGACCTAACTCCCTTGGATCCCCCCTACCT